TCATGTCAATTATTTTTGCATGCCCCCCCCCCTCCCTCGCCTAAAAAAAAATCAAATGCCTAAATGTCAATCTGAACAGGGGATGGCCTTTCTCCGTGTGTTTGTGTGTTAAAGAACGTATAGATGTACACATAAAAATTTGTATTCTGGTTAATTGCTTTTAAGATTTGAAGTAAATAATTACCGTACACCAAATTACTTGGTTTAGATTTGAGATTAGTACTAAAATAATCAGTTATAATTGACAAATGAATTTTGCGACGCAAACCAACTGCAGACTATATACATGGCTTTGTATAGAATGTATATTAGAACTACATATAGATAGACAATTCACAATTATAGCTTATGAACAGTAGTTATAATACCCCCACCCCCACCCCTTTCAGCCTCGCAAATATCAAATAACTTCTCTTTCCACTTGTGATATTTTCCCTGACCAAAATCTGGTCAGCACGGACTTGTATACGACGTGCTAGTCTGTACGGAGTTATGGCAGTGTGTTTACTATTGACACCGTGTCAAACCGTTACTTTGAGGGAGTCGCGAAAAAGAACGAGGGAGTCGCTTTTTACGCCAGGGGGAGTCGATTTTCTTCGCTTGAAAAACTGCCGAAAGGTAGGTCACGATGTTTTGTTGCATTTAGAAATAGTTTTTGCACAAATACTATATCGCACGGAACAATACGATAACTAAGGTACTTGTACATCAGAAGTTTACCAGTCTTAACCATCTAGTATGCTCAAACACTTCGGATCATTTTTCAGTATTCACAAATTTTACTTTAACGATGACAAAAAATATGCATTAATGAATATTTATGCAGCATAACCAGGTTTTAGGTGATCTAAATGTTTTATTATTTGATAATCTTTATTGTTTGACAATTTGAATTTGGAAAATGATCGTTTAAGGAATGTACGGAGGCGATTTCTAATTTCAGTGCAAAGGTAACGGAAGGGGGAGTCGATTTCTGTTCATGATTAAGAAAGGGGGAGTCGCAAAGTAATCTAAATAATGAATTTTGGCAATCAATGTTGTCGAAATGAGCATTTTGAATGTTGAAAATGTCATATTTTATTGTCAATATCTTTGAACGTAATTATTCTGAATTTTTAGAAATGACAAAAAAGAAATCATCCTTATGGCTCCATCATCCTAACAAAAAGGGAAAATACAAATTACCAGTAGTCCGTACAAATGGAAATGGACAGCTGATATATTAAACACCCCCTTAAAAACTCCTTGTTATTCAAAATCTCCAACATCAAAAAAGCTGAAAGTTCATAGAGTTTTCAGGGCAACCTGACAAGAGGGTCACCTTCTCCGTTGAAAAGAACTCCCAAAAGACAACGGGTTGACAAATTTTCTGATATACAACAATTCAGCGAAATCGAGTATCATGATATAATTATGTACAGCTGACATAGGTATCCAAACACAGGATGAAAATTCAAAAAAATATCTGAAGACCTTTTTTCAAAAGCTTCCGAGAAACTCTTCAAATACGATAAAGGCACATAGCAAATAAAGTTTTAACATTTTTGCGCCTTATTGATCAAAGTTCTAAATAGAAATATGTAAGATAATTCTTTAAAAATCTTCATCTCGAATATAGCAAAGCCATAATTGATCATACTAATATGGAAGCATTCTCAGGTTGTGTAGATTCAAGTTTGTTCAAATCATGACCCACGGGGGTAGGGCGGGCCCAAAATGGCCGATCAAAGTTTTACATACAAATATATAAGAACATTCTTTAAAAAATTTTTGCAAAGCCATAATTTCTCATATTTATATGGAAGCATATATCAGGTAGTATATCAGGTAGTATAGATTCAAGTTTGTTTCTAGCCACAATGCTCAGGTGAGCGATGTGGCCCATGGACCTCCTGTACTGAATCATTGTACCAAAGGTTGCCTTTAGAAACAGCATCACACACATTTGTAATAGATTGATGGCAGGGACGTAGCAACAGGGGAGGGGGTGGGGGGTGGGGCTGCCCCCCACTTTTTCCCCAACATTACCTTTACTATAGAAAATATTCATTGAAAGTATGGTTGGCGCCCCCACTTTTTACCATAGTATAATGATATCAAGGAATTGTAGCAAAAAACTGGAAGTGAAGTAATTTTGCTTTATAAAAATTGCTCCCCCCCTCCCCCACGAAATAGGATTTTCGAGTTTGGGCAACTTTTAATTTTTTTTTTGCTTGTCAACTTCTTCAGGTAAGTAAAAAAAATTTTCTCTGGTTGGCCCGCCCACTTTCAAAAACGATGCTACGTGCCTGGATGGTAATCCTTTTATTTAAATAATGCACATTCTTTATTCAAAATGTCTAATTTCACAACCTCACAATCTTTTACAGGAGGTCTGATAGTTCATATTTCAATCTATGTGGGCAAAAAGGGTGTGGTTAAATTTCTTTGATACTAGTATTACATCTAAAGAGAAATTTTGTATCCTAAAACAAAATGATAAAAGTTTTTTAAACATTGAGTTAGAGAATAATTTTGGCCTATTTATTTTGTACAAATTAAATGTCAATTTGTCTTTCTCTTTGCAGGACTTTGTAGAGAGTGGTGCTCATTAACATATGTGCAGAAATCGAATAGACTGGCTCAGACTGTGATATATTTTTTTAGGTTGATGGAGTTAAAAGGATGATTTCTTTTTTGTCATTTCTAAAAATTCAGAATAAAACGTTCAAAGATTGATATTGACAATAAAATATGACATTTTCAACATTCAAAATGCTCATTTCGACAACATTGATTGCCAAAATTCATTATTTCGATTACTTTGCGGCCCCCCTCCTTCTTAATCATGAACAGAAATCGACTCCCCCCTCCGTTACCTTTGCACTGAAATTAGAAATCGCCTCCGTACATTTCTTAAACGAACATTTTCCAAATTCAAATTGTCAAACAATAAAGATTATCAAATAATACAACATTTAGATCACCTACAAACTGGTTATACTGCATAAATATTCATTAATGCATATTTTTTGTCATCGTCAAAGTAAAATTTGTGAATACTGAAAAAAGATCCGAAGTGTTTGAGCATACTAGATGGTTAAGACTGGTAAAATTTTGATGTACATGTACCTTAGTTATCGTATTGTTCCGTGCGATGTAGTATTTGTGCAAAAACTATTTCTAAATACAACAAAACACCCTGACCTACCTTTCGGCAGTTTTTCAAGCGAAGAAAATTGACTCCCTCTGGCGTAAAAAGCGACTCCCTCGTTCTTTTTCGCGACTCCCTCAAAGTAACGGTTTGACACGGTGATTGAGCTTTTACGGAGTTTATTTCTTTTTTTGTGATGCATATTTCAATAAATGGAATTCAGGGTGTATATCACTTGACTTGTGCACATCTTCGAACCGATGCAGTAACCTTATTACCAGGTATGGGTACGTTTACAGTGTTCGAGGCGTTTTCTCGATATGCATCAATTGCACAGGAGCTGCAAATCAAAGACGTTGGTTGTTTTGTTCCATTCAAATGATATAATTTCAAAATGTGTTTGCAGATTTTACTGCTTTTTATTTCAAGTTTATTCTGCATAAATTGGCGCACTGTAAAAATACGTACTCGTGCATCTAAATTTCTCTTCCAAACTTTCATTTTTTTCTTTCGATTCTAATCAATAATTATTCAAAAATATGATTATTATGTTGTTTATTGTGGTTTTGAAATGTCTTGATCACCTCATGCATGTGCTCTCATATGCTTTACCATCGGAGATGTGCGCAAGTCGATTCCCAAACCAAAAAATCATTCAAGTGTAACGAGCGAATTGGGGTATATATCGTTACAATGAGACAATGTATCTGAAAGAAATATGGCGGAATACGGCTATAGTTAGTATGAAACAAGTCGTACATAGATGAAAATGTTGCGTTTTTAAGAATTCATGTCAGCTTTAAAGCTGATACAGTCGATATTTTTATGCCCCCGTAAACGAAGTATTTATGCCCCCGTAAATGAAGTTTCGGGGTAAATATTTTTTGTCGCGCCCGTCCGTCTGTCTGTCAGTCTGTCTCTCTGTTTGTCTGTTTGTCCGCAAAAATTTTAACCTTGCCCATTACTTTTGATTTAGTGGAGCTATGACTTTCATATTTCAAATGTATATTCCTTGTGAGAAGACCTTTCCTTGGATACCACCAAATTTGACCTTTTGACCTTGACCTTGGAGTTTGACCCACTTTTACACAAAAATTCCAAACTTTTACTTTGGCCATATCTTTTGAACAGTAGACACCAGGACTTTTATACTTCGTACATGTATTCCTTGTGAAGAAAAGACCTTTCATTGGATACCAACAATTTTGATATTATGACCTTGACCTTGGAGATTTCCGTACTCAAGAAAAAACTTAAACCTTGGCCATAACTTTTGAACGGTAAAGGCTAGTAATTTCATACTTCATATATGTAACCCTTGTGAGAAGTCCCTTCATTGGATGCCAAGAACTTTGATTCTTTGACCTTGACATTTGACCTTCTTTAAAAAGCAAACCTTGACCACTACTTTTAAAGGGTTAGGGCTAGTGCTTTCATACTTTACATATTTAATCCTTGTGACAAGACCTTTCATTTGATAGCAAATTTGACCTTGACCTTGGAGTTTGACCTACTTTTAAATTTTTTAAGCTTGGCTATAAGTTCTAAACGAGGGCTAGGGCTTCCATAATTTACGTATGTATTTTTTGTGGCAAGACCTTGCATTGGATTACCTTAACCTTGAAGATTTTCGTACTTATGAAAAAAACTTTAACCTTGGCCTACTTTCATATTTCAGAATTGTATTTCCAGTGAGAATACCCTACTTTTTGTACCAATATAATTATTTAATATATTATATTCAATATATTTAAAAATTTGCACTTGAGAAAAGTTTAATCTTTGCCATATTGCCATACGGGGGCATCAGTGTTTCACAAAACATCTTGTTTCTTTTAATTACAAAAAAAACAATTTGTCATTCTAGGAAGAAGACAAAATTTATCTTGAAGAGAAAACCTACTTTGAGCGACTTTCAGAGCTTGTGGATCATTATAGAAAAAATGATCTTCCATGTCAACGCAAGCTGACAAAACATTATGGACACATGGAATTATGAAGCAAAGCAAGATTACACAGGGGCTTGAAATAATTATTTAGAGCTAATGCTTTAGTTGAGTATTTTTAATCCAAAAATACATGCAACAGTAAACTTTTTATATTTAGCGGCAATCAATTGTCTGTATCCGCTGGACAACCGAATAACACAGTAACACCTGTCTGATTGGCGTATGAATATCCCTCTAAAGTTTTTCCGTTCTTCACTCTTCTGAGCAATGTTGAATTTCAATTTATTTTCTTGATTCATTGAAGAATGTTCCTGTCTTTGGGGTTTTGTTTGGAAACACTACTCAATCGTCGCGGATTTGACTGTTTCAACTCTCTGATTTAGAAGAACTTTTTACCATTATCTCCATATCTTCCATTATGTGTATTATTTATAAATTACAAAATTTATATTACTTCAGTAAAACTCGGTTATAACGAAGTCACAGGGACCAGAGAAATTACTTCGCTATATCCGTAATTCCTTATATCCGTGTAAGGAATTCATTAAATTCATATAGCTAGGGATCTAAAAT